ACAATGAACTTTTCAAAACATAGTTCAACTGGGTGGCCACCGGTGGATCTTTGGGATGCTAATGAAGAAGACATCAAGCAGACACAACAGAAGTCAATGACAAGGCGAGAGAAGCGCAATCTAAAGTGAAGAGTATGGCCGTCTTTGTTCTACGAGGGACAAACTGTACTTGTATATGATGAACTAGCAGCTCAGAAACGAGGAGGTAAGTTTAGTCCGGTTTGGAAGGGTCCATACAAATTGTTACACCGAGTGCAAGGTTCATACTAGAAAGCCAAAAAGATGGGGCAAGGAGATGCAGTTTTAGTGGAAGATGGACGAAAACCGAGATTGGTGTTTCATGAGGATCAGCTGCAAGTCTTTGACAAAGAGTTCCAATGGTCATACCATGACTTCACGTGATGCTGGAGGAGGATGTTGAGCAATGACAGAAGACAATTCGGAGTTTCGCGCAGGGTAAGCTGGTGTGCCCATGTTAAAGTTCCCGGAACAAGGCTAATGCAAGACACAATGAGCTCCATGTGGATAAAACTACCTTCCGTTCAAAATGTCCCATTGCGCCATGCTACAAACCTATTAGGTGGCATATTTGCACAACGTCGATCCCACTATCATGGAATATTTTTTCAATTTCATGTTATTAATTTCGCTGTATTTGGGCTGGTGCTGGCGTCACCCGCCACCATAATTATTATATAGATCTCGGCATTTTTGGTGCCTAAGCTTGCAGTTTCGCGGCAGAACCACAAGTGACGATGTTGAAGGTGGCAGCGTGAGACATAACACTTCCATCACATTTGTGATTGTCTGCTGCTATAGTTTCCTACAGGTGCGGTTATGTTACAACTCTTTGACATAAAATGGCTGAGATATCAAACCTGGCGAACGAAGGCGGTAGTACATTGTAATGTTGGCATCCAAGTCACTGGCGGCTCTGGCGGCCTCCTTGCGGTTCCGCCATGGCGGAACCGCATCAACTGGCGAAACGTTGGTTACGGCCTGGTGCCCGCCACTGGATGTGAACCTGCCCCCGCGACTGCTCCCCAAGGCTTGGTGTCGGCCAAGCGAGAACTTGTATGCATCACAAAGTGTTTATTAAAGTGTGTCTCTCACCGTCTGACTGATCGGGGATGAAGTTGAAAGCACATTGGTTATGCAGTTAACAAAATGCACCAAAACAACAAGCTGTTAAGGTGCTAATTCGTAGCAAGTTGCGGCCAGTTCATTAAACCGTTAAAAGGTTTAGATTACCCGGTTAATGCGGCGCAGCATCCGGCGGGCAGTCAGTTGCCGCTTGCGCCTTGGATGCTTCTCGAGCGCGCGACTTACCCGGGAGTGCGCGGCCGGTCGGCGCGAGTGTGCGGAAAGGAGCGAGGGCCGGCGATTGTGCTGGGCGACAGTGGCCGGACGTGGCGGACATTGGGGAATGGCTTTCGAAGCCGATGCGCAGCTAGCCGGCGAGGCGGAGGTGCCAGGCCATGGAGCTCGTTTTGGCGGAATGGCAGATGCGCTGAGCGGTGCGAGTGTGGCGGAATTGACCAGAAGGCTGGCGCGGAACGAGAGAACCCTTGCGCGCATCGAGGGGAAGATCGCTGCGTTGTTGAAGGCGATTGAGGAAGGCGCCTTACATGAAAGGGCGGAGGCGGGCAGTCCGGAGGCCGCGGGCCGATCGTCCCCGGCCATTCAAACGGCCTCGAAGATGGCCATCCGGGAGCTCTTCGCTGAGCTCTGTACGGAGGCGGTGGAGGCGCAGAGGTCGGCCGCAGAGTGGGCCTCCAATGGCCATCCGGAGGGCCCTAGGAAACCCCCCCGAAAGGGGGATGCACGTTTCCCCAGCCGGTCCGGAGGGATGGAGCGGCGCGCCGGGGCCGGAGGAAGAGGCGCCCGAGCTGCGCCTTTTCGAACGCGGGCGGGCGGTGCTCGCGAGCGGGCAAATGCCACGGGAGGAAGGCTCCGAGCAGTTCGGAGGAAGGAAAGTCATGCACGACGCCCGGATTGGCCGAGCGTCGTGAAATGTAATTGCAAGGAGTACTGGTGATTGATAGAAAAAGGGGGAAAACGGTTTGATAAGGGGAAGCGAAGGTGATAAGGCAAGGATATTGTAACGCCTATCAGATGCATGAGAAATGGCCTGTGCGCATGCACAGAGGCTTTAGAGGAGGGGGTGCGTTGGTTCTTGGGGTGGTGATGTTTTTTGGTGAAACGGTTGGAGAAAGGTGATGTAACCGGGTACCAAAGTGGGTGAATGATAATGTGATAGAATCCAACGTTGGGAATTCACTCAGGACACTGTGAAGAGGGTCCAACGCACTGCGAATTCGCAGTGGGAAGTGCCATGTGGAGAGTCCGAAGGGGGGGTGTTGTGATGCCTAGCAACTGGGGTATATAGGGGCTGGCTTTTGGCTAGTTTGTGCAGCACCAAAGCCAGCGCCGCGAACCGCCCCAAACGGACGACAACCAGAGCTGTGAGAGAGCGTTGTGGAGCTGCAGCCAAGGCACAATCCATCGTTGGTGTTGACTGGCGGGGCTGGACGGTGTGGCGTTTTGGGAATCGCTGATCGAAGTGAAGAGTTGGTGTTGGGAGTGAAGTATAGTGACGGGTGAAGTTGGATCTGTGAGAAAGGGAAGTGGACAAAGTGAAAGCGTTCTGTGGTGTTGTTGAGCGTTGTATAGACGTTGTGTAAGTTCTGTGGGTTGGCTACCTGCCCGATTGAGTATCGTGATTGTGAGTTCCAAGCAGAATTGTTGAGCCGTCGTTCTGACCGACTCCCGGCTGGAAAAAGGTGATCAAAATCGAATTGCATGTCCCTTGAGCTATCTTTGAAGTTGACTTTGGAAGTCAGCTGTGTTCCCCTAGCACAGCAAAATTAGGAAACGGTAAATCCAAGGCAAGTGTCCTGCTGCCCCTCGACCACTGACTAGGAAAGCGGGAAGCAGCAAAAAAGAAGGCGTGAGGTGGCAGAAAATCCGGAGAAAACCGAGGGAATCCCTTTTCTGAAGAGAGCAGCAGCTGAGCGTGTTTGGGTGGAGCAGAGGAATCTCCCACCACATATCCTTTCAGTTCCAGAGGTCCGTCACCTCCCCTTGGAAGTACAGTCCTTCCTTGCTGCTCATTGGGCAGATTGTGAGCGCTCATTTCAGGAGGCCGGAGACTTCATCCGACAGGAACTGACAACGACTCTGCGGGAAAACAGAGTGGTGCGAGCGGCTGCTTCAGGAAAAGTGGGCAAAGAAGGTGATTCTGATCGGTTTGGCAACAGGGAGGTGGAGGAGAATTCCAGCTCAGGGGAAGAGATCCCTTCAGATTGTGAAATACAGGGGAGTTGTACGGAGGGTATTTCGATTGGGGAGTGAATGTCTGGGGGTTGTCTGTGTTACAGTGACGATATAGTGGTGTGGACAAGTGGAGCAAGGGTATTGGTGATTGTCCAACTGGGTTTGATTGAGGGAACGATTGTTGTAACGGTTGTAGTGAAAAACCTTGTGTAAAACTCTTTTGTCTCAAGGGGATTGTGTCTCAAGGGGACCGTGACGGTCACGGTAGGTCACCTAGTCACCTAGTCACACAGTAGGTCACCTACTGGCCATATCATGGCGGTCACTAACAGGGTCCTTCAACAGTGGTCGATTCTGACCAGACATATTTGTGACTAATATATGTTGTACATTGTCGGCACTACTAAACACACCGGTTACCCCTTCGCGTCAGCTAACACCCCTCTCACCTCACCAATTGTTCTGGTGAGGAACAGAACAGCGCAGACGAATGGATCGAAATCGCCGCAGTTTTCTTCAAAGCACAAGTTGCGAAGCGGGCAAGCCTTGGAAATGAAATTGTGGCTGTGCACTTTCGAAGACGAGCGTGGCCGTTTGGCCTAGGTGTCCACACAAACGGTGGCGGTCGGCCGACGACGCCTTCCCGAGGTGGTGCAATGGGTCGCCGCACGCATGTGGCGCAGGCAGAATGGGATGGCTCTGGTTCTGTGTCAGTTGTTGCCATCTCGACTAGAAGGCGCAGCAATCCATGTGCCGCTTCGCATGCTTGAAAATGACACCGAACATGCCTATGACCTCGCCAAGGGGCTGGCGCTGCAATGGCGAAACCAAAACAACATGGGAAATGTGCCCAACAGGCACAATCACCGACTCTCAATCATCCGGGACAAGACACGTTCGAAGTTCCGTTTGAATTCACCCCATGAGCAGCAGAACCACACAACGTCGTTGAGCCCAATCTAAATCCACCGTCCGAGAAACACAATATTTTGATGAGCTCGAAGTACAACCACAGCTCGAGCAACATAACAGCAAAGCACTGTAAGACTCTTATCAATGGCTGTCAACCCGGGGCTGCTAGACTGACATTGAATATCTTCAAAGCAAACTGCCAGAGAGGAGCCACTCCGATGCGCCCCCACATTCACGCTTCGCCCAAAAAGCGAAGGATGCTCTTCCATCTTTCCCTCCACTGGCGAACGCAACTGTGGCCAGTACCCCCTAGTAATCGTTTCCCAACCAGCCATGTTCAAGGTTCGCCATGGCGCAACCTTCAGTAATGTACAAAGAAAAAAGCCCCTGGCTGACGATATCGTTTCTCAGCCAGTCCCCGTGATACATGTCCAAATTCCCTCCATGCCAAGCCCCCCTCGTCAAATGACGCTGAGCCAGCACCGAGAAATCATCTGCTTGAAATTTGACAACCACGCTGTTTGACAACGAGGTGGATCCCGCAATCCCTCAATGCGACCCGGACACCATCAGTTACAAATACCCCTCTCGCAAAGAATGTACTCGCTCAAAACTGAAGGTGTACAGCAATTCCCATGTCAAAAAAAGGAACAAAAAAGTATTCCCAGGTTTCGTGCAGCCAATCAAGTGAACCATACGGACGCTGTTCACGCCTCGTTCATTAGCCTTCCAATTCAACTATTGAACTATTGTCTGTGTAGTCTGCGCTTTTCTCCATGCGATTCCCTTCTGTCGCTTCCCCGCATATGATTTCAGGCTTCCACCAAGCTGGCAGGACCTCCAGAGCAGATCCGCTTAGCCGTGTCAGCGCTGACGTAGCCACCCCCATCTTCAAACTTCTTGAAATTCTTGACAAACATGTTTGCAAGGCCCTCCAGAGTGTTCATGAAATCCGCCTTGTCGGTCCACTGGGACTCTGGTAGAAGCACCTCAGATGGAACACCAGGGACGCTCTTGGGAACATGAAGATTGAAAATGGGCGTTGTGATGAAGTCACTCTCCGCCATCTGACCCGCATGGATGGCATCGATTATCAGGCGCGTGTGCTTCAAGCTCATCCTCCGCCCAACACCATACCTGTCGGAATGGACAACACCCACAGGCGAGTTTCATTTTTGAACCACACTCAAATACCAGATACTTGCAAGTCTGGATAGCCAACAGAATGACTTAGTTACCTGAGATCTTTCTTGGTCACATATTTGCAGCTGTGGTACATGGAATGTCTGGGTGCTTGTGTGTTGAAATGTGCATGTTAGGCAGCAGCATAACAACACGAAGGATTGCAACAAGTATGCGTATTTCGCTTTGTGCAGACTGACTACCTGCCCCCTGTCCACCCGGTGTTCACAAGCCACGCAGTTGTGCCATGCTGCTCCATTTTCTCTGCCAGCATAGATGCGTACTTCATCGGATGCCACATAAGGAATGCAGATCCAAAGCATGCCGAGAAAGTGGCTTCGGGATCAACAACACCAACTTCGGTGCCAGCGACCTGCATACAGAAACAATGAAGTCACACAACTCATCTGCATCCATTGCATGCCATGCACCAGGCAGCACACAACCGTTTCTGTGCTGATCATAGGCCAACGGGGCAAGCAATATACACAGTGCCAGAACATATACTGCACTGGTCTGGGTGGTTCCTAAAGCTCTCACTCACCCAAATTCCACGACCATCACACTCCGCTAGATGACTTGGCACCAGTCACCAGAACAACAAGGCCAAACTTACATAGACGACGGCTTCCCAGACAGTAAGTGAAACAACTGAGAAGAAGGTGACATTGATGCACTGAAGCGGTTCTTCCATACCTTGGCAGTGTAGCCAGAAATGAAGTGGTACATGGTCTGCTCGAGGGTTAGCTTGCTGACTGGAGGTAGAACACCGAATGCATCGCAGCAGAGCAGAATGACGTTTTTTGGGTGTGGACCTACACAAGGGATGCGTACGTTCTCCATAAACTCAATTGGATAGGATGCCCGCGTGTTCTCTGTCAAAAACCTGAAAGAACCCCAGGACTGAATATCAGCCATCAACATTCACACTCAACTGTCAACCTGAGTTGTCAACAGGCATGAGCGATCCAATCGTCCAAACCATAACCACCTGCTGCATTTGCACACTGCATTGGGATCCTTCTGCACCATTCTTGTCAACTGCAGCAAGAATCAGGCAGATTTCTTGTCAGTTGGAGGCTGCACACCGCATGACAACTCCCCATGTTAAGGACAGACCAACTTCGCCACCAAAACCATAGTACTTACGAGGAGTCATACTGAACGCGTCGTGTATCTGGATCGAAGACCACATTCTCCAGAACTGTTCCGAATCTGAGGGCGTTCCAGATTTCAGGCTCCGTTGTTGGCTTTAGATCAATGCACTTGGCATAGCAGCCGCCCTCAATGTTGAAAATGCCATTTTCGGCCCAGCAGTGCTCATCATCTCCAATCAAGGGTCGATGTGGATCAGCAGAGAGCGTAGTCTTTCCTGTCCCTGCAAAGCAAGATTGAAACACACGTAACAAACTGTCTGTACTGAGGTAGCCTGGCTCAATCTGACCTCACACATGGCAATCATGATGCATAGGGAATCTGAAACGGAGTTCATGCGGACACATCTCCATGAAAGCCACTGGTGACCCTGTGAAGATTTGCTACCATGCCAAGTAGGTATTGACCTTGCAAGGAAAATTGCTTTCACCAGCAGATCACTATCACATCCACAGCGACTCACAACTCTACATATACTAATCGACGTTGCGGCAATTTTCATGCCAGCACTGGTTACACTCCCAGCCACTCGCAGCCTCCAGCAGTGCCCCCACAGGGAAGCAACACAGGGAAAGGTGACAATACTGCATGGGTAGCTCAGCAGTACTTACCAGACAATCCAAAGAATAGCGACACATCATTGTCTTTCCCAATGTTGCATCCTGAGTGAAGGGACAAGATGTTCTGCTTTGGCATCCAGTAATGCATCACAGTGAAGACGCCCTTTTTCATTTCCCCCGCATATTCTGTTCCCAAGATCACCAGCTGCTTGTCCTTCAGGTTCAGTGCAACACAGGCATCTGAGGCGACATACGGAATCTGTTTGTTGGCTTTGCAGGGGCCAGCATTCAGTATCAAGAAGTCTGGCTCTCCAAAGTCCTCCAGCTCCTTAGCAGTAGGTCGTATGAGCATGTTGTGCATGAACAGTGCATGGTATGCACGGGAAGTCACAACTCGCACCTTGAAGCGGGCCTAGCAGAAAGAAACAACAACAGTATGTCAAAGAGTCGTATGCCATTTCCCTCCATGGCACATCTCCACCAGCACTGCACAGTTTGAAGCTGTCAACTGTGCCACAAAAAAATAGACTCCACCTCGTCCAGGGCAAATAGACACGTGGATGGCTCTATAGGACACGAAACCTTTGAGTCAGAGCAACGACCATTCTCCTCACAAATAGCCACGAAAATTGTCACCCCAAAAGTGTTCCCCCTGTTGCCAAATGCTGGGCAACAGCCCAGGTCTGCCATGTGGCTTTAATGAGAGGCGCCAGAAGGGGAGGGGGGAATACGTTGAAGGCGAAGATGTGTGCTTGCGAGCAGTACCCAATATCACCTGTTTGGCGAGCAAGCAGTGACTAGCCATATTTGCAGACAAGTGTTGTTACTGAGGATCTACAATTATATTTGTGCTTGATTCAGCATACCTTGGCATTCCAATTGGCAAAGGCATCCACCACAAACACCCTGTCCAGACCGTTGAGGTAGTTGACAGCCAGTTCTCGGTTGATGTGAAACGAGCTGAACACACGGAACAGGCAATTCAGTCCCATGCTGCCCAAAGGAGGCAATCCCCGGCTCTGATCGGCGCTTTGTAGACGAGGCATGCTGCTGCCCACAGACAGAAACGTGCGTACTCACTTTTCGTCAATCTCGTAGTTGGGGGAACCCTCTCCCCACCACACATCGTCCTGGCTCGTCTCCTCGCGCACAACGCGCTTGTCTTTCGGGGAACGCCCTCTCTTTTCGCCTGCGCAACAACGGACAACGGCCTTGACAATCGGTCACTGCACTCGGTACGGCGCGGGACTGCCTGCCCCCAGAGTAGCAAAGGAGTCACAGGCTGCTGTCTCGGAAGGGTTTTCTCTGCAGTACGACAAGAAGCGCGCTCCGCGGTGCTCACCTGAAAGCGCGGCCAGGGCCCCGTTGGCAACGATATGAGTGCCTTTCTCGTATCGCAGGGCCTGGCAACCCAAGCGACACTACAAATCAGTCCTCCTTCGAAGCAGCCCGACAGCGTTGTCGTATCGGGCCCCTGGGACCACAACCATTCAGCCCGTCCAAACCGTGGAAAACAGCGCGTCCCGGCACCCACGGCGCGGATTCCGACACCTCACCTTTTCGTAAAGTTCCGCGGGCGACAGGTTCCTGTAAATGATCTTCGGCCTGAGGCCGAATTCGGAGCCAATGTCGATTTCGCTGGCCGTCACCGCCCCCAGGTCCGGCGTCGTCTGCACGCAGCGGCACGCGACACGCGTCAGCCGCGGCGACCGCGCCAGCGACCTCAGCTCGTCTCGGCGCGCGCGCCTCAGCGACCCGGACCTCCGTCTTGATCTCCTCCTCGAACCTCCTGTTGACGACGGGAGCGGTGCCGTTGATCGAGTCCACGCCAGCAGCGCCGGCCACCGACGGCAGAACGGGCCGCGGCTGCCGAGCGGCTCGCGGGGGTACCCTCAAGGGCCCCCGCGGGACCGGCGCTTTCCAGGCCGAAAGCCAGCCCTTCTTGCCTCCCCAGAGGGACGTCGACATGGCTGCGACACAGAGTTCGGGTCGAAATGGCCAACGCGACCCGAGGTAAGGAGATGTCTGTGCGCAGATCCGCTGACGGTGCCACCACCGCGGCGCGTATCTTGTCTGGCCAGTGGGGGTCGGACCGCGAATAAGTAAGGTAGGGGGCCGGGCGAGGCGCGGGATGCGCCGAGGGCCCCCAGCACACACACCCGCCTGATGATGTGGCGAGGGTGCTCGGGATGTGGGGTCCGCACGCACCGCGTCAGGCTTCCGTCGGTGCGGACGTCACAAGGGGGTGTTGACCTCCGACCCCACATTCGACCCCTGCAGCTCCGTGCCACGTGACTTCTCCAACGTCAAGACACAGTCAACCAATCAACAGAGGAATCTTGTGTTGGGAAGGGGCAGGCAGACTTCCCTGTGGGAACAGGCGAAGCCTGTCGCCCACAAGCACAACGCCTTTTTGTGTCGTTGGGGACAGTCAGGCGATTGTCGCGCACCCCAACGGCCCCAAGGAGGGTGGAAGTCGCCTTCAGGGGAAGAAACGGGCTCCGGTGTCCACGAGCAACGCGTCAAAGCAGTACACACTCTACGACACGCACACGCACTTTCCGGCTGTCATCGCCGAGTTTACAGCGAGGTTAGCCCAAGGTGTCTGAACGGCGAGTTGGAACTACCCTGCAGCAATTGGAAAGCAAACAAGCTTCCACCCAACAAACTCTCCCTCGGGTACAACCCAGTTGTCGATGCAGTAACAATTGGTAACCTGGGACTTTCTCTTACCATGTACATAATCTACTTCGGCTTGTCCGACTCCCTGGCAATTCTTGTGCCTTGCAGCAATGCACGGTCAGTTTTGCTGGCCAAATGCACAGTGCACTCCAAAAATGTATTGGACCCCACCAAGGTGCTCTGAGACCACTCTGCTACAGGGATCTGCATGCACTGGTTGCCCTCAGGCGATCTTGTTACACAGCCCTTGCTTGGCTGCAGCTTCCACAATGCATTTCACAGCAAACTCTATGTCAGCCTTTGTTGTGTGGCGCCCAGTTGACAGCCGCAAGGTTCCTCTGGCTTGGTCCTCGGAAACCTGCAAGAGTGTGCACCCGTGAGGATATTCAAAAAAACGATGCTGGCAACAAGAGCAATGCGCCCAGGAATGAGAAGCATTAGGTTACTGAAATCTTGGGTACTAAGAGTGCTTGCCGCAATACACAACAAGCAGACCAGGATTTCCGGGCAAGCATCGCAGGAGCCATTGGGACTGCTCGATGCTCTGGAAAAACCAATGGATGATTTCAAACGCCCATAAGCAGCCAAACTGCAGCTTGGCTACAAACTACAACAACCAGCAGTGCACCTACCTGAAGACAACATTGGTAGTTGATATTGCAGCACACTATTTGCCCCAGTTTCAAAATTGGAGCCAAACCTGCTGCAGCCACTAGTCGGTCACTAGTTGTTCACTGCCATGTCTCCAGCAGCATCTATGCCAACATTGCTGTCGACTACTGGAACACATGCACGCTGTCATCGCACCTTCATGGCTGAAAGCACCTCTGAAATGGAATTCTTCCCAGAGTGGCATGCAGATCCTGCCGACGCCGCCACTTTGTTTCTCAAAGAGGAGAGGAGTTGAGCAGCATCTAGCCCTGATATTCGAACGTTGAGAGTGTTCGGCAGGCAGCAGGAGCTGTCTTTAGGCCCATTCACTGCGATCGCCCCCTGTGTAGCAAGCAATTCACTGCTCAGTGGATGTGCTTGGCAGCGGCACTTAACGATGTGCTGTGCTGCAAATGTGCTCTACATCAGCCAGGGTTGTACAAGCAGTGAATGAGCACACAGGAACATCTTTCATCTATTATTGTCAGCAACTAGTCCTGAAGAGAAGATCACACCTGTCCAAATGACTCCTGAAGCATTGCGAACAGTTTGTCTCTCATTTGCTCCATGTGGCAGGGAATCTTCACCGCCTCTAGCCTGGCAAGTTCGGCTGCTTTCCCAAGTCCAACAACAAGCAAGACGTTCTCAGTGCCAGCACGCATGCCAGCTTCCTGGCCACCTCCCCGCAGCATTGGCTCCAACTGAACACCAGACCTAGAACACAACAGGCAAGAACAAGCATGTGAAGACAAACACAGAATTCCCAGCATGGAAGGCTGCTAGTCCATTCATGACACTGTACAGTAAGGAACAAAGTGAAACACAATGGAATAAAGTGAAATGACAAGCAACAAAGGATAACAACAAAGCACAAGAGTCCTGGGCATTCAAGCCACAGCTTTGTCCCACTTGCACACCTGATGTACAGAGCCGCCACCCCTTTTGGCGCCCCAAATTTGTGGCCAACAATCGATAGCAGGTCCACATTGAGATCGTCAACCTGGACGTCGATCTTTCCCATACTTTGTGCAGCATCACAGTGTACAACAATGCCCTTTCGCTTTGCTGCAGTGGCAATTTGCTGCACTGGTTGGATGGAGCCAACTTCATTATTTGCATGCATAATGCTGACGAGCACGGTGTCTTGGGTGAGAGCACCAACGACATCTTCCAGTGCCACAATGCCCTCTTCATTCACAGCCACTGTGGTGTATCGAAGAAGGCCCTGGAATATAACGCCATAAAGAGAGTGCATCAAGAGCGCCAGAGACATCCACCCACTCAAAGTCCTCCACAGAGTAGAGGATCAAAGGATGCAAGCAATTGTAGTCAAAGAACATTAAATCGTGCTCAGGTCAGTACTGAAGATATGGGGCAAAACCCCAAATAACTGGCAATGGAGCGATGATGACATAAAAGCGGTTGAAGATCAAAAATTCGGCCTATGACGATGTGTCCTTTTTTATATGCGCTTTGTGTACCAACGTTGTGCCTTTCTTCTGTTTTGAAATACGTTGCCTGCATTGTGGTTGTTTGTGTTGGTGGCAACTTCACACCAGAGCAGCTTGTCAATGATAAGGTGACTGTAAGCAAGTAGAAATTTTTGGCAATAACACCGCGGGGAGGTTCCGTCCTCTCCCTTTCTCACCACTGCTTTTTTGCACACACACCTTTGCCTGAACTGCGGAACTCGGCCCCGCACAGGCCTACGTCGTCCGCGCTCAGGGCACTCAGTTCCCTACACGCACACACACAGGCCAGCCACTTGCTGTCCACGCCCCACTGCAGGTGGTCGGGTCATAAACCAGCGTCGTGTGCCGATCCATGACAAGCTAGCCACTCATACCATATATGGTACAACTTCATGTGTACAGATTGCCTCACAGTCACGCATGTGGACCCGAGCTAAGGTCTGGCACACCCTGTACTGTGCTGACTCGACCCGCTTCCCCGTTTGGTCACTGCCTTGCTTATCTGTTCCTAATGCACCCAAACTGTCTTCCGATGTTCCCCTTGTTAAACTACCCGTTCGTTCCTCTAGGCCCTTCCTGGGCGCGAGCCCCTTTGCACGCCCATCTGCACATGACTCCCTTTTTAATGCTATTGTTAAGTTTTCCCATTCTGCACGCGTGTTTATCCTACACTCTTTTGCTAGCCCCACCTTATCTGTTTGGCGCGCTCTTGCAACAATCCCTGCATGCCTTTTACTAATGCGCTGGCAGATGCTAGGGTCACCTGTATATAATTCGTTGTGTTTCCTTGTCGGCTCGCCAGTGCGAGCGACATAACAGCTGGTACAATCTAATGATTCATTCCCCATTCACTTATCAAGCTGCGCATTTCTCACACGCTGCTTGCTTCTGCAGCATCCGTACATTATAACGTGCTAACTGTCACAGTGACCTACCTGTTCCCTCAGAGCTTCCACGTATCGAAGGACAGCCGGGTGCTCTACCTGGGTGGTTACAACATGGGGCCATTCGATGCCACGCTTTCTCGCTGAAGCCACAACACCCCAGATTGCCCAGTTGTTAGATTCAGTTCCACATGATGTGAAGTATATCTCGTCTGGTCGTGCACCAACCAAGTTTGCAACTTGTTCCCTGGCTGTCCTCACTGCCTTGTTGCACTGCACAATAAAAGGCATCCTGTGTTGAGTTGCAAAACAGCAAATTCAACGAATGCTGCAAATCTTGTGAACAGGTGGATCACTGCAAGTACTGTAAACAACAAAACAAACACAAGCGACTAGGGGATCTGTGTGTCCAGCAGAAACCTCCCACTGCAGGCCCTCAACGAGCGACTTGTTGACACACTTCGTCCACTGTACTTCAGGAGAAGTGACACAGACGGAAAGGGTCAGGTTGGGCAGGCAAACAAAGGTCTATGTGCATACCCATTGGCCCACAGTCCCAAAGCTAGGGAAGGTATTTCTTTCACATGATAGTGCTGCTTTGACATTGTCTTGCAAAGGGGCCAATAACAGCATTCCATGTGCAACCGCAGAGCCATGTGAAGAACAGGGAAAGTAGTCAAGTGATAGATGAATTTCAAGCCTACGGCATGCTCCTCTATAAGACTGACTTGCAACGACCGCAGTGTGGCTTGGCAGTGAATCGTGGTGATTACGAATAGGGCCTGCATTCATGACCTACCTCGCACCTTATCTCCATACACATGCCCACTTGATGGGTTCCTGAACAACAGAGCTTCCATGCATCATGCGGCTCTCAAGCACAAAAGAACACTGGGGTGAAAAGTAGGCAAAGCCTCCTCGCTCACCCAAAGTAGCGATGCAGGTATGGAGACATGGCCTCTGCAACCTGCAGTTGAGAATGGGAGAATTAGCTACGGAAGTTGCATGCAATGCTTGCCGCTGCTGGAGATCTTGAAATTTTCGATTTTGTCGGCTTCACTTGCCAAAGTATGCTTGGGGATATGCCTCTCCAGACCCGCACACACAAGGAGACCTGGGAAAAGGATGGCTATTGGCTGGGCAAGACAGTGGAGTTGTTGGTGGTGTGGGGCAGGACTATGTGCTGAAGCCCGGCATTGTGGAACACTTGTATGCTGACGATCCCCATTTGCAACACAATAGTCCACAGCGTCAGGTTCATGGTTTTGTACCAGTCTTGTGCATCAACAGTAACCTGACAGCGAGATTCGCAGATCGTAAAGGCTTCTATCGGGTAGAAGCATCTTTATAAGTCGGTTTTATTGCACTGGCGAAGCTATCCAGGAATTGTTCTCCTTGGCCGCCGTGCCACCTTACTAAGGCGGCATTTGCCGAATAGCAAGGTGCTATCGCCCCCCTGCACGCATCCACAAATGGTGGGTGCTATTCCTTGCCGAATAGCATCACAGCAGCACTACAATGTTCTGCACGAATAGCACCAGGTGCTGCTTCGTGGTGCTATTTGGCCTCGAGCGGTGCTATTCGGGCCCAGAATACAACTGCACGGCGCCGAACAGCATCGGCGGTGCTGTTAGGGTGCTATTGCCCCCCAATCGTCAATGATGGTTTTTTGACGTGCGGTGCTATTCGAACAGCCGAATAGCACTGCCAGGACAATAGCACCCACCGGTAAAAGTGCTCCAAGGGGTAGCACCTATTCCCTTGTGATGCACAGTGAGGGTTTACGGAATGCATCGTGTTGGTGGTGCACCTCCTGCATCTATCAACAGGAGACCCAGGCCCAGCAGTTCACGATGTCCGTCTCTGAAAGGCAACCCAACTGTTGCGAGGACGCCATCGTCGGTGCCAACTACTTTACCATTTCGGCGGCTAGATGCAACAGAATTCAAGGGTTCAAAATCTCTTCATCAGGGCCGCTTGCTGCTCACCAATTCCTTTTTCTCAGCAGAGAGGGGGCTTAGGGGCAAGGGGACGTGGGAATGCAAGGACGTCACACAGCGAGAATTGGTGCCCATGGATGCCCCGGCAGGCGCTTACCCAATATCAAATGCTTCCTACCTCGGGGTATATCGGTGTGGTGGCATTGTAGTCAAGATAAACGCATCCTGTCTCTTCGGTGATGGGCAGTCCCCGGCCCGTCCATCCGTCGTCAGGCCCCATCGCTGCGAATTCTGAATCGAGCGCGGCAGGCACGGGAATCCGATGGGCGCAGAGAGAGGGCAGGAGGTGGCGTTTTCTTCGGATAACGATGATCCCTCCAAAGGGATCCGACCGGCGTCCAGGGATCTGCGCTCTTCCCTTGCAGGCAAAGCGCGACGAGACACACACCCTGGGCCTGGGGCCGACGACCAACGATGGCATCCCTGGGGAAGAATTGGCGGCTGTTGTCCAGCACATCCCTGGCTGGGTGCTCAAGACGTCGCGTGTGATGCCACATTTACAACACATCTATTGAGGTCGCACCCCGATAATTGCTGTGTCCGCTGGGCCGCCAGGAACTGACGCACCAACGCACCCGGCCTTCGACCCTCCGCACCCTCGCCGCCTGAATGGCGTCGACGTAGGGATGGCAGAGCTTGTGGTTTGCGAGCACGAGGCTTCCAAACTCGTGGGCGCCTGCGTGGGCGCGCCGGATGGCGATGTGTTGGTCACCTGCAGTCGCGCCGTTCATGACGGCGGAGTTGTCCATTGCGGCGCCGACAATGGGGTGAGCGGCGCTGCTCCACAGCGCGCACCACTCTTTCCGCTCTGCGCCCCGAGAATGGCGGAATCTCCGCCACGGACGCGATCTCAGCGTCAGCAGCTGAGGCCAACATTCTCCATTCAGCCGCATTTGAGTCTCGTACCGAGGCGTCTTTGTCGAATCCCCACTGCGGGTACTGTTCGCTCTGGTCTCAGCGTGTCCAAAACGCGCCGAACCGCATTCCTTGACTTAATTCGTGACGGTGAATCAGCATTATGACAAGGTGGTTTCGCCAATCCTGGATTGTTTTGTCGCCGTCAGATGCGATTTGCTGCAGATTGTGCAGTCACCGCTGCTGCCTGGGGCGTGCATTGTGCTGCCAGCAGGAGCATGAGGGGAGTGCTATCCTGTGCGCGATTTCGCAGGTTCTGAATGCCAACGTGTGCGTCGATGACCTGGACCTGGTTCCCAGCTGCCCGGCAGTTTGGGACCCGTCAAACTGCAGATACTGCGTTTGTGTCAAGCGCAAGGGCCACAAGAAGCATCTATTGCTCCGCTGGAAAGGCATGAAGACGGCCAAAGAGGTGGCGAGAACTGAGAGCACCAAGCTCCCGCTGAAGGGCTGCCCAGTGGCACTGGTTCCACTCTGCAAGTCTGGCTCGGGGACAGACACCATGCAAGGGCTGCTTGTTGTTGTATTCGAAAGTGGGAGGTGTGCATGGCTGCATCCCAGGTTGGCTAAAATGCAGGTTGTTGGGAAGAAAACTGAGGAGGAGGAGCGCCGACTTGTGGCGCAAATCAGCACACATGGCCAGGAAATGGCCATCGCCATTTGGGAGTCGACTAGGCAGAGGTATGCTGTAAAATTTGCTGCTGTGAAGCAGGACAGCATTTCTGAAATGGGGAATCTGGAGCTGCGGCCGCCCAGCAGCAGTGCTGTGCTGTGTGGAATGTCACACCTGGGCAGCAGGTTGTTTGTTGTTTGGTCGGATAGCTCTGCGCAAACATATGGGCCGTCAAAACACTCTGTGGGTTTGGAGCTGCTGCAAACTCATCAGCTAATGGGGTTTGATTTCACAAGGATGAAAAGGGGTTCCAGAACAGAGGACCTGCGGACACTCCCACTTGGCGTTTCAGTTTGCATGGCTATAGGGGAAAGAGATTTGCTGGTTGTAGCTGGACCACAGGTCAACTCCCCTGGCCTGAGGTATATTGTGTTCGACTCCAAGTTTGCCACTGTGCAATCGACTGGCACGGTGTGTGAAGACAAGGGCATGGAGTCTGGCCCTATTAGGTTGGCTAATTTGCAGGGGTTGCAGGGGAGAGTTCTGGTAACAGGGAGTGGGAAAGTTGCGGCTGCGACATTCCCCATCAAGCCAACTACGTTGGCAAGTCTCGTGGGTTCGCAGTCGCTGCAGCATGGGAAGAGAAAGAGGCAGGCAAGCGGTGAGGACGAAATCGATTCGCAGGCACTGGCAAAGCTGCCTGCCCTTGGGTCCAATGGGTCGCCTCTGCCGCCTCACACCCTCCTGACACTGCCAAAATGGGCTATTCCTCTCACAAGACCGGTGGAGAATGGGTACACAGCAGTTGAGGCGCCAGTGGCTGTGCCCATCCCCCAGGATAGTGACCTTCTGAGGGTGACAGAAGCTGATGGCGGGAAGACAAACGGCTTCAGAAAGCACACAAGGGTCAGCGAGCTGGCTGGCCCCCCTGCTGTTGCATTGAATCCAATGCTTGGTGCAGGACACCACAAACTGCATGAAAGGACAGTTGGTCTCTTGGAGCATCTTCTGGACGGATCTGCAAAGCCTGACTCGGAGGTGGTACCAAGCGTCATTCAACTTCTACAGGAATGCCGCACAAACTCTGTGGTGCTTACTGTGGACCTAGTTGGGTTGACAGCGGCGTACTGTGCGAAGCTGCAGGACTGGACAGGCCTCCGTGAGCTCCTGGCGTCCTGTCCCCTTCGCTCGCTGTCGGAGTGCTGCAGCCTTCCGACAACTACTGCTGCGGCTCACCAGTACGGGCTGCTCAAGCTCCTGCTTGGACACGTGGACCATTTTCCCAACGGAGAGATGGCCCCCCTGCTGACTCACCTGCTGTCCTCTGCGTCCGACGACAAGGCCGTGGAATCGCAGTTCTACAACTACGAGCGGATACGCTTGTCTGCAGAGGCGGCCGTGCACTGCGCCGAAGAGGCCACTGGCGATGGCTTCCCTGCCACGCTGCAAGACGCCCAGACGCGTGTGCTTGGGGTGGAGGGCTTCTCGCCTCTGGAAGTTACCTTGCACCCGTTGCTCTGCGTGCCTTTGGACACAACCGAGCTGGCAGATGCACTTTCCGAGCTGTCGAATGCCCATGCGGGTATGATGCTGAACTACCTGGAGAGGTGGCTCCACAAGCTGGTGGGCTTGAGGCGAAGTGATGCATCTCTTGCGAGGCAGTCGAAGGAGTCCGGTTTTCCGAACCTGTGGCAGGTCGCAGAGTGGGCTAGTTGTTTGCTGTCAGTGCAACTTCCCCAGATGTCGCAGCACACCAACCAACTGAAGGTCAGTAGACTGGGTGCTCAAGTACTGGTGCCCATGCTGTTGCACATGAGCAGTGGTGGAATCTTGTTCCCATCTGCACGACTGAGTCATGAATTGGATGGCAGATTATGTGTGCTTGTATTGTACTGTGCACACTTCAGTAAGACTGTTGAGTTGTGCTCGACTGTCTCCCCTAACGTGCAGCGAAAGTTAACGTGGCCCACGTTATGATGGTATCTTTCTAGCCGGCAGTGACGCCCTCTGCTGTGTCCACAGGTTGTTCAGCGCATGAGGCAACACGTGGCGGATTTGCTGAAGCACTGTCGCTCTTTGACTAGCTTGAGGGGTGTAGTAGAAAATCTGCTCTTCAAGTCGTCGATCCCCCTGCCAGATGACCCGTTGGCATCCAAATATTGTATAGAGTTGATCGACCTCCGTGTTTCTGAACCTTAGGTTTCAACTGTTGGTCACAACACCAATTAATTGTAAATTTCATTTAGGGCAGCACAAGGGGCAGTTGTCCTGCGCGCATAACCTTGGCTTGCTTGGTGGGCCTCAGGAGGTGTTGTCGCTGTGACCTGCCATTTGGCGCAGTCGTGCCAGCTCAAATGGTGTGAGCACAAGGTGGTGCAATTGCGAGCTTTGGGGGAAGAAATCCACGCACCACCACGGGTGGGTGGGGTTTGGGGCGAGGGGTTCTCCATCTCCATACCACCCAAATGTGCATATTCCCTCGTTTCATGTGTTGCGGGTTGCCATTCGTGTGATATGCTTTGGTGTTTGGTTCCTGACGGGTTTCGGTTCAAACGTTGACTACCAGCAGAGACATAGAAGAGCAGCACACTCTTATCATGTCTTTTTCAGTTGCGGTGCCGTCCTATCCCAACTACGGCGGCCCAGATGCACGTTCCCACGCTGCTTCCACGACTGGGACAGTTCCCAACCCCCGACTTTTCACGTGGCTCTCTTTGTATCGTCACTGCGGCCAACTGTCGATATTGCTGTCTGTGTCTCCAACGTGTGCCCAAACTTTTTCAGCGAAAATCAACAGCCTCCTGGAGCAGAACCACGAATCACCCCAAACTGAAGGCCGGAATCTGTGGCCTGCCCAGCAACCTCGACTATGCTCCTGTTGCTCCCCACTGATTCCCCGTGGTGCATCTGCAAAGACCACCCCGGGCTGTCGCCCTGAGGAATCCTAACAAGAGCATGGCATTGTTCGCCAGTTCATGCCAAAGCCCCTGCATGGCAAGGGGCTGATGGAGGGTTTCGCTGCGACTCGAAACGCAGGAGCTACAAACAGGGTGGGAAACAATTGTCGAAAGCAAAAATGAACCAAATCAACCGTGATTGACGTCTACACACAATGGCTCCCGACTTTCAACCTCGTGAGATTGATGGGGCCTGGGACCGGCTTCAAAACCGGCCAGAGAAAAGTGCTGCAGCAAACAGAACTCAGAACTAAAGATTTCAGAGGCGGAAAACCACATCATCCCATGCAGAAACCTTTCTGGGGCTGTGCCAAGGAATCGCCCCTCAAGGCAACAACAATAGCGTCCCCCAAGACCGGACTTCCAAGGGCAACGTAAACTCACTCGATTTATACTGTACATTGATAGCTGGCGATATGTTGGCCTCCATTGTCAGGAGTTCATAACTCGTTCCAACGTTTCCTTCAGCTCGCCAGACTGGTAGGCCTCTGGATAAAATACACAACGCGAACTGTGATCATCGGTCTTGTCCACAAACCACAAACGAACGAAACACGAATAGGGTTCATACCAATGACACCAACAGTAGTCAAATACAACTTGGTCAAGGTCAAGACCTCCTTCGGGATACAAAAAACGCCCTGGACCTACTCCAATACGTGTGCTATGCCAGACAGCACATGCCGTTCTCAAGCAAAGCACATGCTCATGCCATCCAATGCGAGACAGTCACCGCCACAATATAAGGCATCTGAGCTGCTGGATATAAACATTACTTGTCCCACTTGTGACAATATAGAGTTGAGAGATATATCAGAGGTGCAACAAGCGACTGTACAGCGCAAAGGTTGCCGGAATTACTTCATTGAAGACCACATTGCCGGTGGACTACCTGGACCATGACGGGAGAACAGAAAACTGCATTTTCTTTCACCAGAGCATGAACTAAAAGCAGAGCATAATGTGTGTCCGCCAGCACGATACATCCGAACTGCCGAAGAATGGCCTTTCTGGATCGTACGTTCTGAGTTGTCTGCACAGCCATTCACTCACCTATCATGATGTCACATCCACCATAGAACTCGCCATCAATATACACTTGTGGAAACGTGGGCCACTGTGAGTACTCCTTCATGCCTTGTCTGAGAGACTCATCCTCCAGAATGTTCACGGTCTCGTACTTCGCCTCCAGTGTGTTCAGTATTTGGACAACTGTGTTGGAGAAACCGCACTGCGGAAACTCCCTGTTGCCCTTCATAAAGAGCACCACCTTGTGCTGCTGGACGAAGGCATCCAGAGCCCCCTTCAGCTCCTCCGACAGGCCAGCGCCAGAGACTGAACGAAGCAACACCGGGGGTCAGGCAAAGGAACAGCGGCCAGACATTGCATGTTCGAGTTTGTGAGGGGTTGTGCCAAGGCAACAACCACGGGCCGCCAAGGCAGCACTCCTTGAATCAGACAAAGAGTACAGTGTACAGGCTCCACAGCACGATTCGCGCCATTCCCACGCACCATGGACAGATCTCATGCTGCAATCCCTGGTTGCCGAAACAGTGCGGACGTGCCAATACCAAGGCGGACTAACTGCCGCCCACAGACAGTAGTAGCCAGGCAACTGCGCACCTGGACCCATCGCAGACATGGTCACTGCTTGCCGCCCAGCCCGCGGCTTGGGCAGCCAGCCAAGGGCTGCTGGTTCATCAGACCGTGCAATTCCCCGCCTGTGGCGAATGTTTCTGGCGACTGCCCCTGGCCTGCCGTCCACGGCGAGAACCTGGCGCCGCTCAGCAGCATCGTGGGAGCCTGGCGGGACAGAACGTGCAGCTTCGTCCCCGGTCCGTCTGCAGTGCACCTCAGCCTGTGTGAAGTTCCCCCTGGGCGGAGTCCGGGAGGCGTTTCCCCTGCACAAACTGTTCGGGGATCTGGGCCCCCTGGCATGATCATTATGGCCATACATACGGAAAAGGGAAGTAATTGACCGAGTGAAAAGTTGAAGAATCTGCACAAACAAGAAAGTGCCAAGGACGCGGATTTCCTGTGATCATCCCTTAAGGCCCATGGGAACTGGATAGCTTGCGGTAGCACACCCTTATTGACGATGCTGCGAATTGTGCACGGGCTACGGACTGTTGGTGGGCGATGATACCAAGAGCGTGGTCGCAATGGCAATCGCTCACAACAGAATCTTTGCAGGCTGGGTATGCATTCTACCACCGATCAACCGTTTCACAGGGGGCCTGTCATATACATCTGTAACCTTGGAGCCGCAGAGTCAAAAGAATAGAACCTGCCGTAGAGTGTGCTGTGTGACACCGTCATGAGCGCGACATGCCTCAAGCCATGCGTAGGCAGATGCCGATTCGTCAAGGAATAGTTTCTGAAGATCGCTATCGCCAAATCACAAAATCCACCTCCAAGAACATGGATTTTGCGGATGAAAATGCAGCATCTCATGGGGATATCCTCGACAATGAGTATCTGCAGACCCTGTCCTGTGGACAAGATCGTCGTTGATTGTGCTTGTCGCACTGCGTTTGGATATAATAATACTCACTGAAGACTGAAAGCGAAATTTTACATGGACAGCGCTGGAATACAACTCCCCCAGTTTCGGTTTCGTAATCTGGGAAAATTTTGGAGGGAATTTGCTTTGCAAGAAATCTGCCATAAATTGACCTCGTGCTGCAGGTTTCATGAGATGATTGAACAAGAATAGGAACTGTTCGTGAATTGGGTTTGAAACTTGAGATTTTGGACACGATCGTGGCGGCTTTAATGTTGTATTTTAGCTTCATGTATCCCGTTTTTAATCGCCTTCGAATTTCATGTGTTCTCTTTCGCATTCGAATCCCCAACCATGAGTGCATAAGAAGCCTCCACATACAGGCTGTGCACCGCACTTCAATTTAGAAATGAATTGCATTGATGATTTAAAGAGGCAAGAGAGCCTATATGCCCGCTTCCTGCAAGAAAAGACAGACACCGCTCCATCACAAATTGGTGCCTGTCGGGTACACCGCTCAATGCGCAATGTCTGTCTGTTCAGATGCTTGGAATGCGCTGTGTCTCGCCTCAGGTGCAAACACTGTGGGTCGATCAGTTACGTCCCCGAAGATTAAGCATTGAGCTTTTGGAAATAGCAGGCAAGCACATCACGTAACATAATGTGAATATAGGCGAACAATTGAATTTTGAATTGCCGTGGAAAGCAAAGCGGATTAAAGTCACAATCTCAGCTTTGCACCTTGGGCTTTATGCATGAGTGTATATGCAGAGGATGAGATGTTAGCAGTGTTGGCATATTCTGCATGTTCTACATTGCAGAGCTGAGCACGGTGGCGTAAATGTGTAACAGATAGGGAGCCCCCAATTGTGAAATGTGTTAGAAGAAGACCGCTTGATTCACCGGGGCAGGATACGTAGGTGGCCGCCACAGCACCGTACGACAAGCAGCGCGTGTTTCTCCAGGAGCTTCATTTTCTGTGCCGTTCCGCTCAACTGGCATTTGATTTAGGGGTGTAGGAAATGGGTTTCTGGGTGCAGTTTCTGGTGCACCTGCCGAGAGTTTGGAGGCGAAAGTATTGCTCATTGTGTGAGCGCGCACTTCCCCAACGAGGCGCCAACACGGGTTTGCCGACACTTGCGTGAATAGCCTCTGTCCGGAACGGATGTTTCCGTTCGTATACCACGACGCTGAAACACAACGAAATCCAATCGGAATGTGTATGGATGGCCGGGAGAGCAAGCAGCCTAAATAATGATGACCATTCAGGTCCATGGAGCGCTGGTCAATTGCATAGGTCTAGGCCATGCTCATCTGAGCACCTCTGGAGATTTGGACGGGCTGCTTGCAATTCCATCCCCTCAAACGGGGGGAATCACAAAATTGCCTCAGATTGCAGTTGATGTGGTCGCGGCGTGTGCATTATATGTCTTGTGGACATAAAGCGGCGCATTTGAATTTGGTTTGAGAGCTCAGAATTCAGAAATTTTCCCCAGGCGGATTCTCGCGGACGAGCAGCTGGCACACAATCCTGTTGCTGTTGCACCCGACTCAAAGAGCCATTTATATGGGCGTTCAGGGTCAGGGAGCGAAGCCCGAAAACTCCTGCAGCTCACTTATGTCCATGGAGTTTCGAATGGATATGAATTCTTCAGAATCGCTGCTTGAGGTGGCGGAGTTGTACCTGGGTAGACAGGAGGCAAAGTTCTCAGTTTTGCATGTAGGAGCTTTCTGCTTGA